CTGCGTAGGACTGGGTTGTTCTAGGGCACCTGAGTAATAATGATTAGTCAGATTAAATCTCAAAGACCTCGCTCTGCTTCAAGAGTTCCGGTCTGGATGGTAGCGGTGTGGGAACACCCATCCTATGGTGTCCCATCCCAGCCTGAGTCAGCACAGGACGACTCTCCCCACTCTCCACCGCTTCCACTTTGATGACTCCAAGCTGTGAGGTCCCACCCTGGAGGCAAAGCTGGGAAAAAGGCCAAGGCTGCTAACACTTTTTCCCTCCCGTGGAGCTGGATGTTAAGAAGATTCCTTTGTCCTGGCATGGATGATCTTAAGGCCATCTACAGAGTTCTAGTCCTGTAGTATCTTTTACTCTTTTTTTTTGGTACTGGGGATCGAACTTGGGTCCTTGTGCTTGCAAGGCAGGCCACCGAACTGCTGAGCTAAATCCCCAGCCCTAGTCCTGTAGTATCAATGGGAAGAATTCTTTCTGAATTACACAGGAAAGTGACACCACCATGCTTAGCACTTGGGAAACTTTTTACACATAGTTGAATATACTTGTTGAGAAAAATCATGAATAATTTCTGGCTAGTTGAAGTGGACCAAGGAGTAGAGCTCAGGTCTTTCTTTAACCATGAGATCTAGCCAGCTCGCTCCCGTCTATGGCTATTTACTCTGCCTCTTTCACTATCTGTGTGGAAAATTGGCCCTGCTCCTCTCCAAAGCCATCCCTTCTGTGTTGCTCCTAGATCCCATTCTGTGCTGATCTAGGCATTGCCCTGTTACCAGTTTACTCTTTTATGAGGCATCAATGTTTCTTTCCCACTAGACTTTCTATCAACATACAGGCAAACTCCAGTGTCTTCTTATCTTCAAAAGAACCTCTTTGCTCCTAGTTCCCCTTCCCCTTCTCCTTCCTCTTCCTTTTTTTTTTTTTTTTTTTTTTTGGTACTGGGGATTGAACTCTGGATCTTGCACTTTTAAAGCAGGCAGCAGAACCACTGAGCTAAATTCCTGGCCCCCTCTAAAGAATTTTCTATGTGCTCAGTATTTCTTCTTCTTCTCCAGTTTAACTCTCAATCCCACTTTAATTAGGATCACCACTAAATTAGCTCTTTCCTTTTTATTTTGTTTTTTGTTTTTTGAGACAGGGTCTCACTATGTAGTTGAGACTGACCTGGAACTCACTATGTAGCCCAGGCTGGTCTCGAACTCACAGCGATCCTCCTGCCTCAGCCTCCCGAATGCTGGGATTACAGGTGTGAGCCACCACACACTGCTTAAATTAGCTCTTTTCAAGGGCACCTCTTACCTTCCTGCTGCGAGGTGCAATGGTCATTTTTCAATCCTCATCGTGTCCTACATGTATGTCAGCAACATCCAACAGCAGGCAAGGCTCTCTTCCTGGCCTTCCTTGCTGGGCTCCTGGGAACCACTTTCTCTTGAATCTCCTATTTCACTGCCTTTTGTTTTCTAGTATATAAGTGATGAGGTGTCCAGGATAAGTTCTTGGGCAGCTTTTCTAGCTGTACATACCTTCAAATGACTTCATTAGTCCCATGGTTTTAAACACCATTCACATATGGGTGACTTCTAAAGATTTATCTCCAAACCTATCCCTTCCCCAAAGCCCAGCTGCCTTCTCCATTACTCTATTGTATACACATCAAACTTCAAACCGAAGTCAGCTAACCGTAGCTGAAATGCTGCACCTTGCATTCCTTCAAGCCTGCTCAGTCCTTAGCCTCCCCTAGTGGTAAATGGCTACTCCTTTTTCCCAGGGGCTCAGACCCTAACACTAAGAATCATCTTTAGTTTTTCATACCACACGTCTGATCCACTGTAGACCCTGTCAGATGACCTTCAATTGTATCTGGGATCTGGCCACTTTTTGCCACCTTCATTGCCACTGCCCTGTTGTAAGTCATTACTACATCTTGCCTGGTCTAATCTAACAATTTCCTAATTGGTTTTATACTTCTAGCCTTGCTTCCCCTGTGAACATGGCATCCAGAATAATCTTTTAAAAACCCCAAACAAACAAACAAACAAACTGCGATTAGATAATGCCATACCTCTATTCTAACCTTGTGTGGCTTGTCACTTTACTTTCTAAATAGGATAGAAAGTCCTTAGTAGGGTCTTCAAGGCCCTATAAGATCTGGTTCCTATTACCTCTCTGATTCCAGTTCCCACCTCTCTTCCCTTTGCTCACCTTAATCTAGCCAGGACCAGGGATTTGGCTCAGTGGTTCTGGTGCCTGCCTCATCTTAATCTAGCCAGAGTGGTTCTGAGCTGCTCTTTGGACATACCAAGCCCACTCCTGCTCACAGCCTTTGGACTCTGTCTTCTCCTCCCTGTTACTCTTCCCGTGGGGCATGTATATGTCTATCTCTCTCTCTCTCTTCGTTTGTGCCTCTCCTCAACTTTCACTTTACTGAAAAAGCTTTCCTCAGCCATTCCTTCTATAGTAGCCTCCTTTGCTATTTCCTTACTAGGCCTCACTTATCTTTCTAGAAATCGCCATAACTCAAAATGTGTTTTTTTTACTTGTTTCTATGTTGTAGATTGGGATCCCTCATTACTATGCAAATTTGATAACAGAGTCTTTGTGTATTTAGTCATTGCTGTATCCCAAGCTCTCAGAAGAGTTTGTTACATAGTAGATATTTAACAAATATACATTAAACAGATAGATTTGTGAAATGGCCTTATCTGGGCCTCTAGTCATTGGGTGAAGGGAGTCATTTTCAGAGAATTGTCAATTAATACAATAAAGATAATGTGAGAGGAATGGTGAGGTATACGTGGAGACTCAGGTGATGTGCTCCTTTTTACCAGTGGCCATGGAATCACAGATATTCTCATTTTTCTCCTTGCTGTTAAATTGTTTGCTGAACTATAAGGAAAAACTAACATCCACTTTTTTTTGTTTCGTTTTGTTTATTTGAGACAGGGTCTCACTATGTAGTTGAGACTGACCTGGAACTCACTATGTAGCCCAGGCTGTTCTTGAACTCACAACGATCTTCCTGCCTCAGCCTCCCGAGTGCTGGGATTACAGGTGTGAGCCACCACTTTTAACTTCTTTGACATATCACTATTCTCTGAGACTAAATGTGCTCATCTGCAAAATAGGCAGTTGGGGATGTGGTTATTGCTCTCTTGGTTTATGGTCTATAAGATGCTAGAAAGAAGGGCTGGAGAATTAGCTCAGTGGTTCCACCACCTGCCTTGTGAGCGCAAGGACCCAAGTTCGATCCCTGGTACAAAAAAAAGAAAAAAAAAAGATGCTAGAAGGAAGCAGTACATTTACATTTTGAAGGATCAACAGCATGGCCAGGCTCTAGAGCTTGACTGATTGTGTTGGAATCCTGCCTCTATTTCTCACAAGCCTTGTAACCTTGATCTTCCCAGCTTCCTAATTTGTAAAGTGGGAATAATAAAACAATCATTAATAACAATAATAAAGATAATAAGAATATGTAACTCAAAGAGTGATTATGAGGATTACATAAGATAGTACATTTAAAGTGTGTAGCACTTGGGCTAGCATATTGTAGATGAACAATAAATGTTAGATATTAAGAACAAAAAATTTTTGGGGAATTACTATTAATGCATTCTTGGGGCAACAAACTACCTTAGAGTATTAGATGATAGGGGATTTTAAGAGATGATGTGATAATGATATTGTAGTTAGGTAGGAGGTGCTCTTACTCTTATAAGATGCATAATTAGGTACTTAAGAAAAAACATTTCAATGTCTGTGGTTTAATTTTTTTAATTGAAATTTTTTTTTCAGTACTCAGGACCTTGAGCTTGGGAGGTAGATACAGCACCACTGAGCTAAATCCCCAGCCCTGCCATTTTATAATAATTAATTCAATATATCTATGTCTCCCCACCTATCAGTAAAGCAAGTGTGGTAAAATTTTAGCTATGGTTGAAGTAGTATAGTGTGTTTTGTACTATTCTTTCAACTTTTTGTGTGTTTGAAAGATTTCACAATAAAAGGCTAAAGAAAAAGGGACTCTAAAAATAGTCTAGTGAAGTCTAACACTGATATTTTATAGAAAGAGGACCATGCGCTCAGACAGTGGGACATCTGTACAGGGCCAGACATCTGGAGAAGCCTGGGGACGTCAGGCCCCCCCAGTGCTGGCTTCTACCTTTGTGTGGGGCTGTTGTCGCTGACGCTTAGGCAGCAGCGAGCTGCACAGGAACACAACCGTCTTCCCCTAAAGAGACTCAGGGGTGTGATGGGTGTGCATAGAGCACCTGTTTTGGGGTTTGCTTTTGGCTTTGAAGCAAATAATCGTTTTGTTGGAAGGCGTGATGTTGAAAATGTGGGTGCAGCGCGGGTGCAGGCTAGCACCCTTGGAGAGCGAACACGCTGGTTTGGCATTCTCTGTCTGTGGGGCTTCAGTGGTGGTGGTCGTGGGAAACTCTGGGATTGCAAAGGAGAGAGGGGAGAGTAAGACATGGGGACACGAGGCTGGGGCCAGGAGGAGCAGCAGAGAGACTGGCTTCCATTCTGGAGCTCCCTGAAGGAAGGGACCCAAGGGTAGGGCTGGGAATGAAACGCGGCACATGTTTAAGGAGAGAAAAAGATTCTTTGAGGTCTGTGGCATCTTCTTCTAGCTCACGGGGTTCAAGGCCCTGGAAAAGAGAGAGAAAGGAGAGGAGAGAAAGCCCATGCAAGGCTGGTGGTGGTTGGGAACACGGAGAGATGAATTGGGATAGAACAAATAAGGAAGAGGAAGCCTAAGTATGGAAGTGGGGAGGATTTTAGAGCTGGGGTGTTGGGGGGGGTGGAAAGGTACAGACCACAGTGGAGGGGCGTCGCGAACGCATTGGGGGCCGTCAACCTCTGCAGACTGGAGTGCCTTTCTCCAAAATATCCCGGACTCTCCCGATGGTCTGGGACCCCCAGAGGCCGCGGTACAGCGCGCAGAGCTCCTGGCGCTCTGACTGGGGGAGGGCAGGCAGGGGAGGCGGGGCTTCGGGCGGGCGGCTGCGGAGCCGGGGCCGCGGGCGCGGAGTCTGGGGGCCCGGCTTCCCTCACCCGCCCGCCGAGGCGCTGGTCTCTCCTCCCCCAGCCACCCTGCTCGCCGCCGCCGCAGCTGTCAAAGATAAACCGGGCCATTGCCTGCAGGAGCTACGACAGAGAACGGTCGGGCCGTGAGGAGCCTGGGGCGCGGCCTCGCCTCTCCGGCCGGGTTCCCGCAGCAGCTCAGCCGATAGCACCGCACCTCTCCGGGACCCAGACACCCACAGGTCCCCTGACCGCCGCTTCCGGGCCCGGGGCACCCGCCTCAGCACCGCGGACAGCTCTCACACCCTGCTCGCGGCAGCCTGCCCACCCGCGCCCCCAGTCAGCACCGCGGACAGCCCCTCGACCCACCTAACGGCAGCCTGGGAGCCCCCCGGAACCCCGGAACATGGCCACCGAGGTAGGGCAAAGAGCGCCCCGCGGCCACCGCGGGAGTAATCCGCTAGGGACGGACGGGGCGGGTGGGGGGGGCGGTGGCTCCCCGGGTCCAGTCCGGAGGGAGGAAGGCTGGAGTGGCAGGATGGAAGAGGGGTTTTTACTGGGAGCTCACCTTCCCCCGGTAACGTCAGTCTTTCCCGTGCCCACTTGAGCTCTGAAGTGTGCACTTGTTGGTGCTAGCGCCAGGGTTGTTTCAGGGACCCAGGCTGGGGTTTTCCCTTCCCCTAGACTGCAAGGTTTCCACTTCCCTAGAGGGTTGGAGCTGTCTCTGTGCAAGTGTAAGGGAAGGGAAGGCGGGCGCTGCTGTTGCTATGTGGTGCAGTTATCCTGTTTCTGAACCCCAAGTGTGGCTAAGGGAAGACAGACCTGCCCTACATCTGCATTTCCTTTGGAGGAAGGGGAAAAAGACATCCTCATGCCCAGAACCCAAACGGTTGGTCTTAATGAGCTTTCTGCACTAACCCCCACTTTTGCAAATCACCTTTTCTCGCTTCTGCCCCCATTGGAGTTGATTATTTTAGGGTGTTCACATTTTCCCTATGTCTAGTGGGGGTGCTGCCTTCTTGAGGGTGCCCCTATAGGTTCATCAAGGGACAGAATTTTGGCACAGTGACTAAGAGACCAGGAATTACCCCCAATTTCCCTCCACTTGCCATCAGGGGTTACCCTTTGTCCCCCTTATTTTGTGCAGGAGATGGGGGCTCTCTTCCCCTTCTGTAAGTGATATAACACTGGTATATGGAGGAGGGAAAGGGCTGATCTGATACTCAAACAGCTCGTCAACAGCAGAGCTGAAAGTTTCTTCCTTTGAATTTTTGGAGAGGAACCCAGCACAACAGGGTCTCCCCAGTTCTGATGCTGACTTCCTTTGTGGTGTCTCCTCGTTTCCATCCCAGCTGGAACACAGCCAGGAGGAGAGAAGAGGCCTTTGAATGATTCTGTGCAGTGCCTCTGGGCATCCTGGTGAGCAGCGTGACAGCAATACCAAGTGCTATTGTTGTTATTCCACTGAAGCCTCCTCCACAGAACAAGGTGCTGTTGCTTGGCATTGTTCAGCTTTTTGATGAGGCACAGATTAGCTAGGAAGCCCTCTTGCCCTCCCAGGACCCAGTGTGGGAGACAAGCCCTGGGAAGATGTTGGAGCTCGGCTTTTAAAGTGTAAGAGTGTGGAGTGCTCAGAAAATGCCACAGATTCTGAGAAGAATAGGAAGAGCAATGGAAGAAATGGCCAAGGAGCTGGTCACCATCCAGACAGAGCTGCCAGAATGCAGTAGAGGCTGCTGGTATTGGGCGGACAGGGGAACTTCAGCCACACAGGCACAGCTGGGGTGACACTCTGGGCAGACGAGGCAGCTGCCTGTGCGATGTGATCTGACGGATTCTAACAGGCCCAGGATCTCTCCCTGCTAAGTCTGCTGTGGCCCACAGATTTGCTAGTAGGTTCACACTGCTAGGTTGAGGCCGGGTTTCCAGCAGGCTGATATTAGGCTTGCTTGACTCTCCCCTGGGAGAGGCTCTGCTCATAATGCCTCTGTGAATATAGCACTTTCCTGTGTACTATCACACACCCAAGCACCTTTGAGCCTTACAGAAATCCTATGAAGTGGGAAGGGATGGTGTCATTATCTGCAATTAACAGATGAGACAACTGAGGCTCAGACGCTTGACTGATCTCTGTGAAAGACCCAAAGAAGGCATCATTATCCCATTTTACAGATGATGCAACTGGAATGTCTAGACTTAAGAAAATACAGCTAAAAAGTGGCAGAGCCGGGATAAAAACTTGAGTCTTTCACCTCTGTGGCTATTTGTTATTGTAGCATCCAGGATTAGCATATTACATTAGCTAATTGTGGTGCCTAATAGAGAGGAGAATTCTGGGGTAATGACATGACACTTTGATGGGGAGAGGGATGCAAAGGAGATCAGAAAGGGCTGGAATTGATCAGACCCCCCCACTGGCCTGGCTGGGTCAGGTTGAAGGTAGAAAAGAATTTCAAGGAGGAAAAACATCTCCCACTTCACAGTAGACTATATTGGCCATGTTGAGGGACAAAGGCAAGGCTCTGCTGAGGGGCAGAATGTGCGAAGTGTCTGGGCTGGAGTGAGTCATTCTCCCTAGGCTGTTTTTACTATTAGGACTGAGTCAAGATTACCAACAAAATCCTGTTGGAAAATGAAAACCTCATTCCAACTTCCCATGGTCGTTCCCTTAGGATTCTGAAGAGGAAGTCCTCAGCTCCAGTAGCACATGCATTGAGAGAAGGAGAGAGGAGAAGGGAGAGGGAGAAAGGGAGAAAAAGGGAGTAGGGGATCCAAGAGGGAGAGAGAGAGGCCTCTGTGTGGAAGCTGGATCTTGCCTGCCCCCCAGTTTCTGCTTAGAAGTCAGCACTGGGGGAGGGGTGTGTGTGAAATGCGCAAAGAATGGTTGGAGCCTCCTGAGCAATACACTGACCTCATTTGAAGAGCTGTAACAAGCCCGTTTCCTCAGCAGCAAACCTCTATGAATGTGTGTCACACTGGGAGTAGCGGCTGCCCAGGGAAATAGTACAGATGGAGAAAGACAACTGGAAAGTGCCTGGTTGGGAGAAGCTTCTCCAAGTGGTAGAGTCTGGCTCCTCAGAGATTTTTAAATGCACCCAGGTAGCATTATCCAAGCAGAGTAGTTGGAGGTTTGATCTTTGCGGCATGAAATTAACGAGCAGTAGACAATGCATTGGGTCCAGTCATAGGCTGAGGAAAAGAATGGCCCTGTGCCCAGTTTTCCACCCTCAGGCTTGACCTGGCTGCCTGTGACTCACGATCTGCACCTCAGCCAGAGAGCACAGCACTGTTGCATCAGCTGAATCCCCTGATTCTTGAGTTGAGCCTCACCTGCATCCTGTGGCGCGAGATGGTTATTAATGAGGTTGACGATATGGGCCAGGTGAGGCCTCCTGTTTTTCTTGGCCAGACCAAGACTGAGAGCTCATTTGCTCCAGTGCTTGCTGCTCCCCAGCCCAGTCTGGCTGTCAGGTGTACAGGGCCTGATTCTGTAACCTGCAGGACCCACTCTCCAGGCAGCCTGCCTTTCCTTGTCACACTGCAGTTTGAAGAGTGGAGTCCCCAGATCTCACCACTGGTTCTCTTCCTCATGAAATATCTCTTGGTCTTATCCTTACTTAGCTGCCAGCTTCTCCCCCAGGCTGGGGAATGGTGATAGGAGAGAGGGGCAGGGCTGAAGAAGGGGAGGAACAGAGAGCAGGTCAGGCCTCTGGGTTGGGATCTGTTCAAGGGAGACAAATGCTCTGGCCTGGGGGAGAGGTGTGCATATGCTTTGGGACCCTCTTCTAGCATTGGAAAGCACCATATCTCTCTGCTGAAATCCCCTTCCTACTTCCTGCAGGCTAAGTAGTTGGCAAGTGTCTGGAGCCCTGGCTGTAGCTCTTGTTCTAAGTCCCCAGATGTGGGATTCTTTGTCCCTACACTGGCAGCTCTAAGAATGAGTGAGGTCCACAGGTGAGTTTTATTTGGCCCACCTGGTGCTTATAAATTTAAAACATGTTTATCAGATATATTAAATATCAGAATATTAGATGGTAAAAAAAGTCTGGATTGGACTTCCCTTGAAAACTTAGAATGTGGGTGCATACTCTCACGAGATGTTGATCAACTGCCTCCTTGAGATGGGACACACGTTCTCTAACTAGCCACAGGTCCCAGCTGACCCACTTACTGCTTAGCCCCTGGAAACATCTGTGTTCACAATCCCCGATAAGGCCAGGATATCAGAGCAGGGGTGAGGGACTTTAGTGATTAAGGAGTTCCAACATCTCAGTTTCCAGTTGTAAAAATAGAGGTCCATAGAAGGGCAGATTTTCCTGGGGTTATGTGGTCCCAGGGTCAGGGCTACTGTCCTCCCCTCCAGTGGGCCATCCTTCTACAAGGGCCTTTTGGTACTTCACAAGTGAACCACCATGGATGGAGACAGCCGGGAGAGCCTGCCTTGCCTTAAATCCTACTCTTCACCAATTGCACATGTCCTATGTTGTCTTGGACACCAAGGCCCTGTCATAGACAGTGTATCTGATCTCATATAGCAGCTCCTTAGGGCCTCACATACACTCTCCAGGGACAGAGATAAATTCTACTCACCCAGATCCAGGGTAGTACAATGGAGCCTTGAATTATGATTGGCTTGACATACAAACAACTTGGGTTACGACCAGAATTTTAGTTTCAACTTATGAACAATGTCTTGAGTTATGACCCAAATAGTGTCCACTTGTGCTTCCAGATGGTCTTAAATACAGATTTAGCCCTTAAAGAGTTCTGGAAGGAACATTACAACATCCTTTTGTATGGGGTTAATGAACAAATCCTGGCTGAGGTCTGCCTGAAAGAAAGTGTGGGCTAAAATTGTACAGGAAAGAGACTTTGAAGGCTGTGTAGACGAGCCTGAGCCTTCAGTTGACCAACTTGAGTTACAATCAACCTTCAAGAAGTAATTGAGTTTCATAAGTCAGGGTCCCCCCACTGTATTCTAAGGCTCAGGTTGGCTTTGGAAAGTGTGTTGACCTGTCCAAAGCTATTGAGAACTTTGTAGCTACTTGAGAACACATAGGTCAAAACCAAGAGGAAATGGGACTGCATTATGTAAGTAGAACCCTACCATCTTAGTTGTGATAGGCAGAAGGTTGTTTCTTGCGCAGAGAAATGTCAGACAAGGTGGACATCCTCCAGGGAGTGATTCAGGGACCCAGCTTTTTCTAACCTGCAGTTCTGCCACCTTCAACACAGGGTTTCACTGACTTCTGTAGAAGGTGGAAGATCCAGGAGGAGTGTCAGATCTCTATGAGTCAACATACACATGACATTTCTCACTTCCACTCAGTCATATGGCCACTCCTAACTGTGTGGGAGCTTGGGAATTAATTTAGCTTGTGTGCCTAAAAAGAAATGGCCAGTCAGCAGACAATCACTAGAGATGCGTTCTCACGTAGTATACACACATGTACATGTGTACACAGGTGTGTATGCGGTTCAGACAAAGGAGGGCGGCTGAGAAGAGGAAGCTGAATCCATGTCAGTGGTGGAAACACTGTTTTTTTCCCTTTCTTTTCATTCTTAGCACCACTTTTCTCTGTTTAAGCCTGCTTTGGTTTTCCCTGAACAACTACCAGGGAATCATCCCTTCATCTGGCCTCTTACCCCAGTCTCACCCACTTCTCACAAAACTGCCAGAATGATCCCTCTAGAGCTAGGGGAATCTATAGCTGACACTTTTAAGTTGGTTTTAGAAGGGAGAGGAGGGCTATTGCTCTTTCTTTTTCTTCAAAAAAATACATTATGTTGAAACCATGGCCGGAGTGAGCATAAATAAGTGGTTAACTTATTTATATTACCAAAGCATTTTTATTTTTCAAAGTTGTAGGACCCCCGGAAACATTAAGGAGATTTCATCTATGAAAATGTTAGAGGCATCAAGGGATATTAAGACTAGAGGAGTGTTTATTTATTACTTAATTCAGTCCCAATATTTGGGGCTACCTCTCCTACACAGAGTAAGGCTCATCTGGATTTAGGAAAGTCTTACATAGTGTTCTCTGATTCTCACCTTTTCAGGACCTTGATGTCCCAATTATCTGCTCTTCCTACCTTATCAGTCTTTCTCCCTTTATTCTTTCCCCCAGCTTTTAAGCATCTCCCATTTTAAATCCTCCCTGTCAGCAGAAACCTGTCCAGCTTTGTGATCTAACCCTTGCCTCCCTCTCTCTACTCATTTCCCGCTACTTGGCAAACCAGCTCCAGCCTTGCTGAAATCTGCCTTTGGCCACTGGAGTAGATCAGTTCTGCTGTCTTCATTACTCTGCAGGTGCTTCTCTGTTGGTCTGGTTGCCTTTTCCTCCTCCTTCCGACTCCCTGCCTGTCCCTTACCTCTGGTAGCTGTGGACCTTCTTTCTGACTCAACATAGGCTTTAGGAAGCTTTTTTGGAGCCAGCCTTTTGGAGAGCATGCTACTTCTTTGTACCATTCATCACAGTCTAATTCATTATATATTTACTTGTGTTCTTCCCTGGAGCTCCCAGACTGTCTTTTTCTCAGCATCCCCAGAGCCTGGCACTAGAAGGTACTCAATAAATGAATACTAAATGACTGTACAGACTCAGCTTGATTACCCAGTATGAACTGGATGCTTGTTCACGCTGCCTGCAGGGCTTGGTCTCCACGCAGTCCAGTGTTGGGCATCTTTCACCCAGCAGGGCATGCTTGTTTCCAGTGTGGGCGACTAGAGAGGTGAAAGAAGTCTTGTTCTTCTGGGTAATTGGATCCACTCCCATCAAGTGCTAGAGTGTGTGTCAGTGTCAGGTTTGGAGGCAATGTACAGAAATAAACCCACTCCTTCCTAGCAGGGAAGGCTAGTTCTTCAAGCTCTGGCCTCAGCCCATTTTACCCACAGTTTTGGTCTAAACCTCAGTCTCCCTCTGAGTTCAGGAGCATGTTAGGATCTTGTCTACCCTGCAGGTTCCCTGGCTCCAACCCTGTCATTTGCTCCACCCACAAGGCCTGAGGCTTCAGTATTATTCAGCTCTGTGTTCCTCGAGCGCAGGGCTGGCCACCAGTTGTCTTGTTCTTCTTTTAAAATTTGCTTCTGGTGCTGTGATTGGTTCCAGACCTCTCATTTGGCTCCACTTTGGCCCTATTGTAGGCTTTTTTAGATACTTTGGGTTAACATCAAGCAGCTTCCTGGGTGAACCCCACAGTCCGCTTCCCCATGGGCCCTCCTATGAGCACTGGTGCGCTAGCTTATGTTTGTCGGGAGCATTCCTGTCTTCGTGTTGAAAGACCCACATTCTAGGAAGCTCCTCGGTGTCGAATAAACTGAGGTGGGTGTTCACTCTCAACATCTGCTTCCTGTACATCTGCTCAGGTCCACAATCTGCAGGAGCTGCGGCGAAGTGCCTCATTGGCCACCAAGGTCTTTATCCAGAGAGACTACAGTGATGGGACTATCTGCCAGTTCCAGACCAAATTTCCCCCAGAGCTGGACAGCCGGGTAAGGATGTCTTTTTTCTGAACTTGTGACCCATGACATTGATGGAACTCAGGTTCTTATTGGCATCCATATTTTTCTGGGATCACATGACACATAATATCATAGGCCATACTTGTTCAGCTACTTCAAAGAGGAGAATACAAATTCCTTAGATTTAAGTTCTCTGAAGAAACCTCAGAGATTTTCCAGTCCACCAGTTCTCAAATTTCAGTTGCATGAGAATCACCCAGAGAACTTGTTAAACAAATGTAAATTCCCAAGTCCTAGTGGCTCATATCCTGTGTCACAGAGAGGTGCTGACTCAGTTGTTGGAGTGCGGTTCAGGAATCTCTATTGATCGGCTGCTGTTGGCTGCACGTTAGAATTTCCTGGGGAGCTGAAAAAATCTTAGTGTCCGGGCTATACCCCAAGCCAATTAAACCAGAATTTCTGGGAGTGGGGGCCAGGCATCACTATTGTTCTAAGTCTTAATTTTCAAATCATAAATGAATTAGCAATTTATTTTAATAATAATTAAAAAACTTTAATTTTTAATGAGGAGTTTCCAGATGAAATTGAACAGATTCATAGCTCACAATGCAAGAGTTGCTGGTCTTCTCGTACCAAGCTTCTTCTCACTCACCATAGTCCCCAGGTACCTTTGGAAAAATGTACCTTCCAGGTGTCCCCTGGGGTAGGGCGAGGCAGTGGTGGTCTTCAATGCTCTGGCTCGTCCTCCTTCTCCCCAGACTGTTTGAATAAGAATCAGAATCTCTTGAAGGTGAGACTTGGCTACTGCAGCTTTGAAAGCTGCTCACATGACTTTAGTGCACAACCAGAGTTGAACACCGCTTGGCCCTTATTTCTAAAACTGTGCTCAGTGCTGACAATGTCAATGTCACTTGGGAGTATGATAGCAATGCAAGGTCTCAAGGCCCACCTTGGAACTTCTGAATCTGAATCTGCATTTAAAAAAGATTCCTAGGTCATGCAATAAAGCTTGAGAAGCATTGCACGAATCTACCTTCTCAAGAAATTGACAGCCAGAGTAGTGATTTCCTAAGGTTAGAAAGCACTAGAAAGGCCCAGTACCTCATCTCCTCTTTTCCACAGGACTCTGATGTTCTTATTGATGCCATTACATCCTTAGTGAGAACTGTGCAGACAAAACAAGATCCTTGTGATCACAGTCATGGCAGGAAAAGTTTAGCAACCCAGAAGAAGAGCTGCTGGCTACTTTTCCCTCCTTCCTCCTGATTTGCACAAAGTGGGGAGCCCAATGCTCCTCCTGCATCTGTCGGGTGGCATTAAAGGCAGCCAGCCAAGGGCTCTAGCCTGTCCCTTGAGATTCAGGCACTGGGGTGCATCATGGGCCCCTTGAGAGTCATTAGCTGCTGAGTTTTGCTACTGATTCTAGGTTGTATGTAGCTGCCATTTAGAGCTGGCCTAGGATTGGAGACAGAAAGTAAATCCCATCCTTCCACACAGCAGCTCAGGCAGATCTGGATGGGCCTGGGAAGATGGCACAAGGCCTGTGTCTGCTGGTCTGACCCCTGCTTCTCTTGGATAGCCTTGCAGGGTTCTTTCTCGCCTTAGCATGTCTCTTTTCAAGAAGGATGACTCTCAGTAGAGAGGCAGGGCTTGAGTCATGGACCAGATAAGCAGAATTTTCCTTCTGTGTTCCTTCCATACCTGGGGGCAGGCAGTGGCTGGGAACCCCAAAGGTTATCACTATTCCTGGGGAGAAATTTCCTCCTAGACAGGCATAGAGAGGTACCTAAGGTGTGCAGTGGGTAGTTCTGCTCCTGTGAGGGTGAAGGGGAAGGAGATGTTCTGAAGAATGTGAAAAGTGGGGTTACAGTTACTTGGACATGAGTTTGGAATGTGACCTTGCAGGTGTATGGCTATGGTAAAAAGCACAAACTCACAGGTCAGCAGAGCCATATAACCTTGGACAAGTTCACTTAGCACTCACCAAATATTTATTGAGCACCTACCTACTATGTATTAGGTACTGGAGAGAATGGAGTAAACTTATGGACTCTATTTCCTATTAGATGATACGGAAAACAAAACAAAAAGCCAAGTAAATAAACATGTAGTAGCTCAGGTGGTAATATATTAGAAGGGATGTGTCACAGGAATAGGGCATGCTGGGAAGATGTGCTCAGGCACATCTTGGATAAGGCAAGACCCAAGGGCAATAAAGGATGAGCCCAGGGCTGTGTGCAGATGTGCTGCAGGTGAGCACACAGGCACAGAGGACCCGATGCATTTTTAAGAAGCAAGGGATGAATGAGGAGAACTGGAGACAGCTCCGAGGGGCCACAGGGTCAGCCGCAAGGGTCTGTCGGGCATAGTAAGGACTCCCTGGGTTTTACTTTTCCAGGAGAGACAACTGGAAGCTCTTGATCAGATCTTGACATGACCCAACTTTAACGGAGAATTAGGGCAGGAGTGAGGGCAGGGAGGCCAGTGACAAGGTCAGAGATGGCAGTGGCTGGGACCACGGATCTCAGGGTCCATGTGGTCTAAGGAAAACAGAGCAGTCCTCACCTGTAAAATGGGGTGTCAGTAACCCTTTCAGACAGAACTGCCGTGAGGGCTCAGTGAGACTGTATGAAAGAATGCCTGCCACGTAGAGTACGCTAATCAGTAGTTGCTGTTATGATTGCAGCCAGGACAGCTTCTTAGGCCCCCACATGTGGGACCGTGGGGTGCTGTCACTGCAGCCCCACCTGTCACTGTCTACACTCTAGTGGGGCTAACCTTGGCTTGGCCTGTCCCTCTCCCCTCCAGATTGAGCGGCAGCTCTTCGAGGAGACCGTAAAGACCCTCAATGGCTTTTATGCCGAGGCTGAGAAGATCGGGGGCAGCTCCTATCTGGAGGGCTGCCTGGCCTGCGCCACGGCCTACTTCATCTTTCTGTGCATGGAGACCCACTATGAGAAGGTGCCGCCATCCCAATCCCCCGAACCCCTCCCCAGGCCTCCTGCTGCGTGCTCACCCCCAGCTGTCCTGCCTTCACAGGTTCTGAAGAAGATCTCCCGCTACATCCAGGAGCAGAATGAGAAGATCTTTGCGCCTCGAGGCCTCTTGCTCACGGACCCTGTGGAGCGTGGGATGAGAGTCGTATCCTTCCTGGCTGTTCTGTGCGAAGGCACACAGCTGCCGGCTCCTTTGCTCTTGACGTGGCATCATCATCACATCCTAGGGACCTCTGCTCGTGTTTCCCTTGGATTCTGACATGGCTGGTCAGCAGTTCTCCGCCGTAGTTATTGGGCTAATTGTGAGTGTCAGGGTTGGCACTATTGGGCTGCATGTTTTCAGAGCTTCTCATACACCAGATGCCATTTTGAGGGCTTTTAAAATGTGAACTCGTGTAACTTTCATCACAGTGCTAAGAGAGGTGGGCAGTGCTTATTCCCCTTTTTACATAAGGACACTGAAGTTAACCCCTGGGTCAGAGTCCTAGGGCAGGTCAATGTCAGACCAGGATTTGAGCCCAGCTCACTATTAACTCTAAGACTATACCACCCCTCGAGACATACAAACCCTGCACCGTCTCCTGTGATCCTCCTGTAATCTCCTGTGGTGGGTCCCCTTGTCCCCTGGTCACAGGTGAGAAAAATGACGTGTAGGAGCAGGAGGCTCCCCAGGCTTGCAGTCCTGCGGGGGAGGCTGGAAGGGGGTGGGTAGGTTCTGCTTACTCCACCTGAAACAGGATGCTCAGGTGTTCACATAACACCTCCACCCCAGGCAATGGCAGTGACAGTAGAATGAGCAAAGGATAAATTTATTCCTTTTTTAAGTTTTTATTCTTTTATTAGTACATGTCTGCAGTACAGAATGATTACATTCCTCAGACGGAGTTGGTATATGTTTACTGCAAAACTGAAGTGAAGAAAAACACCAGCAGAATCACATATTTGCAGAGTATCTCGCTTGGTGTGTTACATACTTTATTTCATTTAACCTTCACAGCAATCCCAAGATTCTATCATCCCCATTATATAGATGTCATCCTTGCGGGTGAACAAGTTAAGTGACCTCACATGACTTGGCCTATCTTGTGAGCGGGCAAGCCAGGATTTGAATTCAGCACACTGAAGTCCTCATACTTCTTGACATGTCACACCAGGATAGGATAATAGGAATATGCTTTGTGAGGTCAGGATGTGGTCTGCTGTGATCCTGGCTGTGCACCCACATCAGATTTGGGCCCTGTAAGTCTGCGTAACTGTTCGGTTCATCAGTGAACACGGATGGGCTCGGGGAATCCAGGACTCCTCAATTTCACCATCCAGAAAGAGCACAAGTTTGGCTCCCTGCCCCCACCCGACCTCTGAAAGTCCCTACTCTGTAACCTGTGGCTACGGCTCTCCTTAACTGCCAACCCAGATCGAGATCTCCATCTATGAGGACCGGTGCAGCAGTGGCAGTTCCAGCAGCGGCAGCAGTAGTGGCAGTGGCAGCAGCAGTGCCGGGGGTGGTGGGGCAGGGGCCCGGTGACTGGCCGAGAGTCCCTGCAGGGAGGTGTACGGCCGCAATGAAGGCCTTGCAGACCTGCGGCGGCTGCGCTACCAAAGCACCCGCTTCTGAGTCATTCTCTGGGTCCTGCCCTGCTTCCCTGAGGTGGGAGGGAGGGTGACACCCTGCACCTCCCCTTTGCCCCCTGGCAGGATCCCTCCTTCCTGACCGGAGCCCTGCTTTCCCTGTGGGGCTGGCTGGTCAGAGTCACTTGGAGCCAGATCTTCCTAGGGCAGGCTGGAGTGGGGAGAACAGTTAGGGCAGCCTCTTTCTTCTTCAGCTTTCTTTCCTTCCCCAGTACCCTGGAGAGGGCCCAGAGATTTCCCACCCTGCATGATTCCTCACCCTGAAGCCCATGTCCACCAGGACTCTTTCTTGTTCTCTGTGACCATTTCCCAGTGTCACCTCTTTCTGGCCACCACAGGCTCCCTGCCCATCCATGATCCTGCCTCCGTGGAATCAGAGGTCTGGGGAGATGAATGCTGTGGCGGGGAGGGGTTCAGCAGCTCCTGACCCCTCCTAGATCTGTTTTTCCTGTCTTCTACCTGGAGCTGGACATCATCTCGGCCTTGCCAAGAAGCTGCCCACTTAGACTTTGCAGGCCACCAGGCGCTGGCTGTGGGATGCACGGCCTGGGGCTTTGGGAGGTCCTGGGGGAGTCTGGAGCAAATCTTTGCACAGAGATATAGCTGTGTGGAGTTTGAACTTCCTGTACCAGAGCCAAGGTTTGGGTATCAGAACCTGGGTGAGAGTGTGTACGTGTGCTGATGTATGATCACGCACATGTGAGTGCACTTGTGTGCATGTTGCACAAATGTGTGAATGTGAATGCATGTGTGAGTACACCTATGAGTGTATGCATACACGAGTGTATTGTGTGTGTACGTGGGTATACATGAATTCATGTTATCTGAGCGCATATGTATATGGGCCAGAGTGTGAATGTTCTCATGAAGAAATGTAGAAGAGCACTGTATAAGTGCAAGTGCATGTGTATACGAATGCACATGTATGACTGTGAAGGTCTGAGCATGTGAGTGTGTGTGTCTGTGCAAGAGAGTACTTGTGTGTTTCCTCGGGTGCTGTACTGACTGCTTCTCTTTGAGTCCTGCCTTGTCTCATTCCATGATGGTCTACAGCTTCTTGTCTGTGTGGGTTCAGCTTGGCCTTCTATATTAAGTCAATGTCCTAAAGCCCCTTGCCCCTTGCCTGGCTCTGGACTCTTTCTCCTGGTCTTTCTTCCACCTTCTGATTCCCCTAAGCACATCCTAGTAGAAGACAATATGGAGTCCTAGGAGAGCAGAGCCAACCTTTTGGTGGCTTTTGGTGCCCCTCTCCCAGCCCCATAGTGAGACAGTGGGCCACAGACACTGCATATTCAGCCTGCCCAGGTTCCAGTGCTCTTAGGCTGTGAAGTGAGGCTTTCTTGGACATTCAAATTAGCCAGCAGCCTGCAGGGGCGAAGGCAGAGTCTCCTTGTGAGGAAAGGGGATGTCTAGTCAGCAGAACTCTGGCTCCCAAAGCCCAGAGGAGGCAGTGGGAAGGCAGCAGCCTGAGTCCGGTATCCTGAAGATGGACAGAAAGGGGCTGCCTCCCTCAGCTGGCAGGAGGTGCTAGAAATGGTTATGAAACACCAGCCCCTTCAGGTAGCTTTCTGGAACCAGAGAGGAGCCTGGTTGTCCATTAGACTTTCCCATGTGGGAGCAGGAGCCTACCCAGAGAACTGGAGAGGGGTGGCCCAACCCCTGAGGCCTCAGGAACCTGCACCCCAGTGAGTCCTGGTGCAAGGGTTTCCCCCAGAGCTGTAGTCCAGTCGTCGCCAATGCCCACTTGGCCCACGGAGTCACCAGGCCTTGTGTCTGATGTGTGCATCTCCTATGGGAGATATTTTCTTATTTCTTTTTCCAATAAAAAGACTTGCCCAGCTTTAGGATCCGTGCTGCTTTCTCTGCCCTCCACTCGAGGAGATGCACAGGAGCCTGAACCAACTGGGTGAGTGCATGGTTGAGTGCAGACCCAACATGGGGGCAGGAGGACTCTGCTTCTTGAAGCCAATAGTTTAGTGAGGGAGGTAGACGCTCCTGGTCCTCTAATCTGCATATTTTGGTAGTGGTGGGGGCACTTGGAGCCTTGGGTCCACCTGAAAGCCAGGCCAAAGTATTTGATTAATGAATTAGGTCATGCCCATTTCCTGAGCTCTCATCCTAGGTTGGGCCTTGTGAGGGGGTGAGTCAGTATTAAAGACTAGAAAGTAGGTGGGTGTTGGATTCTAGTGCACTTATGTCTTGGATTTTAGAAAATGAAACATACTACAGGTGGGAGGGGATTTAAAGGTCATTTGAGTCTTCTCATAAAGGTATAATGAGGCCCAGAGAGATTGAGTGACTTGCCCCAGGTCACAGAGCTGTTTGATGAGTTTAGGACCATGACAGGTTTGTGGACTAAGGGTCTGTTCCAGGGCAGATTTGATCAGACCATGCGGCAAAATCTTGGGTCTCTGGGGCACTGGGGAATGGGTGGGGCGCCCCTCTGGATGGTGCGGAAGAGGACTCTGAATGGCTCTCAAGCTTCTACTCACTGCCCCTAGGGAACAGCCAGGCATTTACTGAGCTGCAGGCAGCCTGGACTTCCGACTGCTCAAACCTGGGTTGTGTGTGTGCTGGGGGAGAAGGGCTGTGATCTAGTGTCCACAGAAGGTCATTCTGTAGTGTCTTTGGGGTTAGGAAGTTTATTCTTTCCTAAGGCCACATGTGTACCCTAGCTAAGCCGTTCTAGGGTGGAGGCCTTGTAGAGGGCTGAGGATTCCCAAACTGGTAAAATTCACTGAGTGCTGAGAGGCATTCAGTCCATCCACTTTCGAACAGTAGTAGTAATAATGACGATGATAAACAACAGCTGACATTGATTTAGCACTTGCTATGTGACAGGCACTAGGCTGACTACATAATTCATCATTCAGTCCTCATAGCAGCCCTCTCTAGTGTGGATTATTATTATTCCCATTTTGCAAATGAGGAGATCAAGGCACAGCGATGTTAAGTTGCCCAAAGTGACAAGTAGGAAGCGGCAGTGCTTGGCTTTAAATCTAATCAGTTTGACTCTGAACAACAAGGAAAAAGATAAGGATACCCAGCTTCAGACACCCCTCAGCCATCCTAGGGCCAAGATCAGGCAAATTCTCACAGAAGGACTTGAAGCTGTATCGGAGCTCAGAGACTGGGCTGGCACCTCCATGAGTGCTCACAGGTATGCGGGACCCACAGGGCGGCCTGGTGAAGTGCAGTTGAAAGACCCCTGCAGACCCGGCTCTGTGTGGCCTCTCTACTGGCTTAGTCATAGGGGCAGTTGTTTCCAGCCTGGTTCTGGTTACAGCCCTGTCTCTACATCCCCCTTGCCAGCCAGGGACAGGCCCCCAAAGGCCTCAGGAGCAGAACTTTGCTCCTGCCTCGGCCAGGCTGCCCCCAGGTCTCCCCCGTGCCCCTACCTAGGGGTGTAGCCCGCCTGGCACGCCCACACAACTCTCCCTGCATACTCTCTCCTCTGGCTTCCTTCTTTTGGCCAAAAGCAGCGGATGTGTGTGCCCATCACAGGGTTTATAGAAGCATGAGTGCCGCTGAGTGGTGGAATCAGGCACTGCATCTGGGTCAATAGTGGTGGCAGACAGAGATACCAGAGAATCTATCCCCTCACTCAGAAGCCAGCCTATGCTGCCAACATCTTTGAGGAATTTCCTGGCTTCTAGAGGTGTGGATGAGGGTGGAGTTAGGTGGTGATGACTCACGGCCAGGTGCTGGGCTGCCTCTGAGCATCACTGGCTTGGGACTCCTTGTCCCCCACAACTCATCTTTGGGTGAGGAGAGTCTCCATAGGAGGTTCCCTGACCTGGCTTCGGCCTCACTATTTAGCCAGGGAGGAGATAAAACAAATGCAACTATAAGATGGGAATTTGAGCTCCAGCTTAATGACAGACATCATGACCGGTAAACAGAGACTCCTGGATCTGAGATTTTCAACCTTTCCTGCAGGCAGTATCACCAGGGTGCATGAAAAACTGCCAATGCCTGACACTCTCCCTTGAGGTTCTGATATAATTGTTCTAAGACCCCCCACATAGTTTTCTGAAAAGCTTTCCTGGTGATTCTAATGTGAAGGCAAGGTGAAAAATCCTTGGTTCTGACCATGCCAAGAGCCCATGGGCCTTTTATAGGGCTCAGAGAACACCTGAGATATGAATAAATATCTTACTGGTTCCACAAAAGCAGTCAGATGCAAAATGAGCAAAAACTGTGTGATCCCACATAAAACAAATTCAGAGACAAAACTGTTCTGTGCTATGAGAATGAGGATTGCAACTCCTCTGGGCACGGGGTGGTAGGTGGAAGGGGCCTGGGGACTCCTGGGAGCGCCTGATATACTGCTTCTTGGCCAGAGTCCTGATAGGGAGAGGGTGCTCACTTCATGAGAGACCACTGCACTGTACGCCTAAGAGCCGTACATCATCCTGTACATGTGATATGTCAATAAAATTCACCAAAAAAGTTTATTGGCTCTAAAATAGGAAAAGAGCACAACATTGAAATTTATTTTTATTAAAGGTCTACAAATGTAACACAGTTTATCAAACAAGACAACTGAATTCGATTTGATGTGGTTATATATATTTTTTTCCACTGTGGCTATGAATATAAACAAAAGTGTTGATATGATCAGGGTGGGGCTCCAAAAAAGAGGGCTTCTGGTGCATGAGAAAATCTTAAAAACCCATGTTCACACCAGGAGATTTTCACCTTGGTCCCCCTGCACTTGTGTGCATAATTTGTTCCATAGCTTTGGGCAGATTTTCAAAGGGGTATGCGATCTCTGCCCCATAAGAGGTTTAGAACAATATATATATATATTTTTTTGTACTGTGGATCAGGACCTTGTGCTTGCCAGGCAGGCACCACTGAGCTAAATCCCCAGCCCAGGAGGGACTGGTTTTGAGGATTCATTGAGAAATCAGCTGTGAATATGCCTGGCATGAGATGGGCGCTTGGTAATGTCAGTTTCTCTCCTTGCTTTCAGAATTCACCCCTTAGGAGTTTCCACATGACCTTCTCAGGAGACTTCCAGAATTTATTCTCCTGGCAGCACCAAGGACAGACTGGTTTGAACTCCCAGCTCTTCTTCCAAGAGGTTGTTCGAAGGGCCTGTCCCTTCAGCATCTGCTGGCTGCAGAACTTCACACGTAGCACCTTAGAGCTGCACTGGGGATTGTGTTTTGGGCTAGGGAGTACAGAGGGGGAGGTAGAAGCTTGAGGGGAGGGAAGCTGAGAGCTGCTGCAGCCAGGAACTCTGTAATTTCCTTAACTTTCTGAGTCTCAACTCTGTCATTTATAAAATGAGAGCATTATGGGACTGTCTGTTTGTAAATGATAATCTGTTTTTCCCATGTAAGATATTATTGTTATGTGGAAGTGACACTAGGACCTCATTATACAATGGCCTTATAATACAGATTCATAGCAGGTTTCAGATTGTTGCATAGGACAGATTTATTCAAGGGTTCACTGATTCCCTAATATATACCAGTACCACTGATGTACATTATTATTCCATTTAGCTTTCTAGCACTCTGGTGGGTGACAGTATTTGAAATCTGATTTTATAGATGAAGAAACTGATGTTCCAGACTGTTGGGTAGCTTGGCAAGGGCCCACAGCTGATAAGTGTCAGAACAAAGACTTGAACCTAAGTCTCTGACTCTGAATCCTGCTTCATTCTGCCACAGTATGTCACAGTCAGATGCACGATGCTGTTCATTGATTCATAAAGACAGATTCTAGACCCAGGGTGAAACACGTGCACAAATGCAGACACAGAAAAATTAGTTTTGCAGAGGCACGGAGGTGCTCGTTATTTTGGAGTAATTCACATTATCGATTTCTGTAATGGAAAAGTGATTGGGGACCAGCTACCACCTGAGAGCAGAGTTGAGCGAGGCCCGGGAAGAGGAAATGTTACGCACCACTTACAAGGCCTCAGATATGGTGAGGGCTCTTTTCTCTCCCACTCCAATTAATTGGTAAGCTCTATGAGGAGGGGTCTTGTCTCAGTCATTTCTACTTCCTCCTCTCTGCCCAATGCTTTTCACAGGGCTTCGCCCTTGGCAGGTGAGCAGCTGGTGTAGCTCATCACAAGCAGGTAGGAAGAGGGAGAACAGACTGTGTAACCCACAGGCTTGGAGCAATGTGTCATTGAGAAGGAGTAGTATAGGCAGAAGCAGTGGGCAGTGGTCACTGAGTGATGCAATTTAACTGCAAGTGGCCACTGTGTAACTCAAAGGGTAAGAGCAGTGACGGCAGGCTGTCCCGCACTGGGCAGCAGTTCTCTGTATTGTCACTTGGGTTGTGTACTTATGACTCTGCTCTGATCTCATAGAAGAGGAGAAAAGAAAGCAAACATCTTGAACCCACTCAGCCTCTGCCTGGCTCCCTAAATATCATGATTTGGGGGAGGGAAAATTCTTCTGAGACTGAGTGCTTTGTCTAGAAGTTTAGGCCTGGGGCTATAGAGGATGAGATACCAAGGGTGTATAGATGGGTAGATGGATGGATGAACGGACGGATAAGTGGATGGGTACAGAGAATATGGCTGGCT